AGGAGGTCCGAGAAAACAAAAAACTGTGCAACCACTAGCTTGCCAAGAACCTGATCCCCCAGGGCTCAAACTACATGATCAAAAGGTAGCTAGACCGTCAGACCCGATCCATCAGAATCCCAGCCCAAATACATCCATCATCCGTACGTTTTGTGGAAAAGAACAGCCTGGGCACAGCCTTCATGGCAAATTGCCCCTTCTTCTGCAGCTTTTCGCCAAAGAGGTCTGTGGTCGCGTCCAGCAACAGCGGCAGCGTCACCAGCTGCTTGGAGGATAAACCTGGATCCGCTTGCTGCCCTAGAAGGGACTGGCCCGGTCTTCATGACGCGGAGGATGGCTTCGCTTCTTGTACACATGAGATCTGCCACTTGGGTGCCTGCTTCTTGTTCGGGGCATGTCCCATTGTCCAAGCTGCTTTGGAGGGTCCATGAAGGTATAGGGACTTCCCCAACCAAAGCCTTGCACTCGAGCTGCTTTTGAAACTGCTTCAATTTAGAATCCTCAAACACTGTACACACACCTCTTGGGACTCCCAAATCCAAGACCACACCATGACCTGTTTTCAGCCCACACCTGCCCACCTGTCTGTACCGTGGCATGGGGACCGTTCGGCCCACCGTTCGGCCTCCCCCCCGGTCCGGTCCATTCAGCGACCCAACAGTCTTCTTCCCCACCTAGGATCGTGGCAGCTGCCAAGAACGCGCTCAAGGCGTTGGGCAGGAGCTGGAGCTCAGTGTCCTGAGCATCGGCCAAACACAGGGCAGCAGCAGCATCCGAACTGACACACGGATGAAATTGATCAGCAAAAGTGCATAGACTTAGAACACCACACTTCAATGATAACTGTGTGCCCAACTTCAAACCAACTTAAACACCCAGTCCCGCTGCAAGTCCCACATTGCAAAACGCTGCTATACCAAAATAACACACCTGTCATACCATGAAAGCAATGACAATGTTATTGTAACGATGGCACTCTAATAACGACGATGACAATCTAATGATCTAATGACAACGATGAACATCTAATGATGATGTCGACAATTTAGATCGATAGCAAAACAAGCACAGCAGAATGCACTAAACATGCACTTGTGCCATGTTTGAACAACCAGAAGAAGCTGGACTCATCCCCTCGCCCGATAACGGACACCATCCCCCCGCCCGCCTGATAACGATGACATTGTTGTGATAACGATGACCCGTTCACATCATATCATCCAAGGAACATAAACAGCACGAAACCACCCAGCGACCGAGGGAACCGCGGACAAATGTGTGAGCGGCCTATGGTGGCAAATCACTTCACCTGCGTCACAAGCTGATACCACTGTCTCCCTAGGGATCCAAATACCTTCTCAGAAGGTGATTGGACATTGTTATGGAGGGTTCGGTGCGACTGGATCCCTGGGGTCTCTTGACCAAGTCTCTCGGCCGATGTTGTCTGCGATGGACTGCGCGACGCTGCCGCCAAAGAAACCATAGCCCAGGATGCCGAAGGCCAACAGGAAGACTTCCTGGGAAGCGGAGGAAGAAAACCCGAGGGATTTGCCAACGAACTCCTGCCGGCACCACCCATGTCGCATGGTTGTTGGATGGAACATACATCTTCAGGGGTGTCTATAAACGCTATAAACACTGTGGGTGGTTTATCTTGAAAAGGTGTTTCCTCTACAAGACCAGTGCTTTCAGGTTCTATCTCAGTCTGAAAGGGAGGACTGCTTGGAGTGTCTGTTTTTCCACGCCCGGACCGTGGAGCCAGACGGTGGGCATGAAACAGAAAGCACATGAGAAAGCCAAGTGGCACGAGAAATGGGTGGTATATAGAACAACCATTCATCAGACCCAAAAGAGCTTGCCTATTACTTGGCCAGTGTGTGGGTGGGAATCAAAGTTCCCGTAAGACACAACAAACTGCTTATACAATTCTGGATTACCAAACCATACCATCAGCGCTCTCTGCGCACTGTGAACTGGGGTGTTTGTCAGCTCCTGGGGGATTCACACAGGGTGAAAACTATCAAGGCCACCAGGCAACTTCCCATGTCCTGTTCCAGTACGTGCGCACATGTGGGGTGGAAATCACATGTCATGTCTATTACGCATTGCTATTGATTTATAGCATTTGCACATTGTATGTGTATATATATAATATCTAATAGCAATGGCCTCCAACCTACTACCGATGGCCTCCAAGCAAATATACAAATATGAGATATGATATACCTGATATGCCCAGTCCGCTGGCGAATGCCGACCACCCCCAGTCCGCTGGCGGATTCAGTCCGCCGCACTCGTGCTGTGGAGCAAGTGTCAGTCAGTGTCATGCTGTAAACGACCACACGATTCCTCGGTGCATCGGTGAATCGGCTCGAAAGCAACATCCTTCAGCTGAACCGGGTCCATTTGTTGTCATCCTGAAGTAGATAGATGATGTGGAAGTCCAAAACCCAACAGGTTTATGGGGAAAGTCCAAAAGCATCGAAAACTAACAGGTGTTCAAAGGTTTTCATCTATCTACCCCAGGATGGTTGATAGCACAAGCATACTCTTGCACTCCCAAGGTTCCATTGCCGCTTGTCTTCCATCCTTGGATACATTGGAAGCAAAACTGCCGCACTCGAGACTTGACATCCTCATGGTGTTCTGACTCCCATGGAGGTTCTGAATAAACTCCTCTAAAATAAACTGGAACAATTTAATGCTATCAAATTGAAAGCCACGCTTCATGAACTATTCAAATGAACACTGTTACCGCTATGCATAGATACTCGGCACTCTCCATCTGGGACCTTTTCTCAAGGCTCTCGAAGCACAGTCCTAGCGGTCAACAGGAATGAGCGGCTGTGCAAGACTAAACTGGCAGCTAAGATCATCGTTCCGTCAGCTGCCGTAGAAAATGCTAAGTGAACATCTCAAGGATCATGACGAAAACCATTAGTACAAGAAGTCAGAGAACATGTAAAAGAAGAAGGCCATGAGTGGTCACGGAGGCATTTTCAAAGACAAAGTGTGCACAGCTTTGCCCAACTCCCAAAACATACCCAAAACAGAATGTTCACAAGGGTGGGTTAGTAATGGGTAGGGCTTGTCAAGCAGAAAGCGAGGTCCCGACAGAGGCCTGTCGGGTATGGCTGCGCTATTCTGGTCCATGGAATGCCTTGGTGGTTCGAACCCGTGAGCTGAAAGTGAGACTTGCCCGAAAAGCTGCAGAGGCCACGACCTTTACACAAATGTCGAAGGCGATCCACATCCTGAGTGTCCAAGTTGCCACACAGCAGGCATGTTCTCTTGCGCCACAAAGTGCCGTAGAAACAAAAGTCAACATGCACAGTGAGGACATGGTTGGATTGCATCAGCTTGCGAATAGGAGGCAAAAACCAACACTTGGATGTGAAGGGGTTCTCAAGGATCCATGGAATCTTTTGTCGATCTAACCAAGAGATGATTTTGAGCGCGGACCTGAAGCACTGGTTGCCAAGCTGAACTTTTACTTGGTCAGTCGGGCTAAGCATGTGATCAGGTAGCCCCCAAGGATGGTCTCTGGTTCGAATTACTGCCGTTCTATCTCTGGCAATTGAAAAACTGCTACACGGAGGTGCTAACATGGCTGCTAAAATCAAGCCCTGTTGAACGTCAAGCCGAAGTTGTCGCAGCACCGAACGCTTTGTAAGGTCAAACTGTGGCCCACGACTGAGTTCCCATTCTTTCGCTCTATACCCCAGTTGTCTGCAAGCTTTAGCGACTCCACCTTTTCCAGCAAAAAGGTCAGCGACATACTGACCCTTCAGCCCTTTGCTTTTGTAGGTGGACGCAAGGCGGGGGCCCGGCCCAACATCACATCCCCGAGCTGTCTTTCTGCGAGGAGGCAATGATGTTGGAGAGGTGGTGGAAGCATCTGGAAGGTTGCGGCCAGGCGAGCACTCTTCTCGTATCTGGCCACACTTTTGTGCGACCGCCACCTTCCTCTTTTCTGGACCTCGAGAAGAGACCGCAGGTTTCTTGAGCGATCTATTGAAGGCCCGCTGTGCCTCATCTGATATGGTGTCATGTCTAGCCCCAAAGTCTCTGTCACCTGGGAGAAAACCTTGAAGTAGTGGGAGTAGTTGAAGTTCCACAAGGGGAGGTCGGCGCCCTGGCTGGCGAGCGGCTTCAGCAGGGTTGCTGCCCAAGGCCTCATCCAAGGAGAGTCGAGGGCAATGCTGTCGTCGAACTCGCCGACTTTCGACCGGTCCATCCTTTCTTCTGGATTCAGCAAAAGACTCCAAAACTCTGTAATCCCTGGCGACGGCTTCACCAGGCTGAAGGCCCTGCATCTCAGCAGTTCTGAAGGACGGCTGTAGGAAGAGAGGCCCACCAGCGTAAAGACTGCCATCTGAAGATGTCCCAGCCTCTTCAATTCCAAGGCGATGGCACACCACACGCCTAGGGGATAGGCTTTCCTCGAGGTTCCTGGCGCTAAACGCCTCCAGCCTTTGAGACATCGCCAGGCTCGCGGCAGCCGACTGGATCCCAGCTTGCTGTACTCGGACTGGTGGTGCATCACGGTGGCGATGATTTTGTCCCCCCGATGCGCTGGGTGACCCCTCATGAAAAGGTCGTTGAAGTACTCCACAAGGGTTGCATCCAGTTCGCGTGGGAGAGTCATCATCAGCTTCCGCGTCTTGGCAAAAATGAGCAACTGCTTGTACTCCTCTTGGTAGTACTTGGCGCTCCGGTCCCCAATAGCTTTCTTTTCTAACAAGCTGAGACCCATGGACTTTGCCTCCATGGCCTCTTGCACATACTTCCGAAGCCTGCCTCGACTTCGCTTCGCCAGTGCCTTGGTTCTGACATCCCTGGCAGGTTCTGAACTCGAGGAACTGGCGGCACTCTCGAGATCGGGCTCCATCTGCTTCCGCGGTTGCGGGAGCTTGTCCATGCCTTTGACCAAAGACTCTAGGCTGGGTGGCAAGAAGGACGGCTTCTTCAGCAAAGAAACTGTTGGGTCTGTCCGCTGGAGGGAGGAGGTCCTGGCTTTCTTCATGACTGGCATGGCGCTTCCTTTCTCCAGCACTGCACATCTTCTCTTTTGGCTTTGAAACCCCTCTGGCGGTTGCAGCACCCGTTTTCTTGAGGTCGGCATGGTGCAGCGCGTGAGGTCTGAGGCCAAAAAAGTCAGACCGCTTCACGACATGCAGAGGAGACCGACTAGGTTCATCTGCCGGGTTGAGCTCCGAAGCTACCCACCGCACTGAAAACGCAATGTTTCGAGCCAACCCATAGGAGCAAAACTTTCGGATCTGTCTCAGCATCTTGAAGTTGCGACTTCTGCATCTATCGAATGCCAATGCCGCACTCATTGAATCCACTAAAAAGAGTTGTCTGCAGTCCTTTGAATGGGTGTCTTCAACCAAGTACTCAAAAGATTTCACCAAGGCCCGGGCTTCCAAGTGCACGATGTGCTCGTGCTTCTTCCACCTGCCTTGCCGAACGGTTTGCCAACTTCCATCTCTGAGCTTGTGAGCGGGGACTTCTGGAAAGTCAGTTCTGAGGTCCCAGCCACTGAGCTTGAGGTACTCCTCATCATCGAGGATACCTTCGGCCCACTTGCCCGACACCTCGTCTTTGACAAACCCCGCTGAAGTCAGCGCCGTCTCTCTGGCACTGTGGCTCCCGGCACGCTTGAATCGGTCTCGTTCAGAAACCCTGCCAACTGCTGCTGCCTGAGAAGATGTCCAGACAGCTGCGCAAACCCCAAAGCCCTCTTCACTGGCGTCGGACACTGGCACCAACTCATTCCAAGGCCGGCACCAGTCAGAAGCAATCAGCGGCATAAGGCCGCAGAATGCCCGTAGCTCCGCCCTGACGCTATTCCAAAGAGTTGCTGGGTGATCATGGTGGGAATGGATGAACTTGTAAACGTTGTGGAAAACTGAAAGCAAAGCCCTATTCATCAAACCACAATAAGTGCAATGACCGATGAGTATCTCAAGGACCCGACCACTGCATCGACCTCGTCTTAGAAGACAACGTAGCCCTTGACGAACGCGGTGATACCTGTCGGGGCCAAGTGAGGAGAAGAGGTTCTGCCCATCCAGTTGCACACCAAGCGCTTTGATGCACTCATGCTGTATCTCGCCTGGATGGAGAAGCAATTTCTCCTGGGTGAACTTGCCAACCAGATCATCCAATGCTCCACTGACGGCCTGGCGGTCGGTTGACATCACCCCGAGGTTGTCCACATAGACAAAGTGCTTTAATTCATCAGGGAGGTGGTCACTAAAAACCGCTGGCCCACCTCGATCGTGGATTAGAGTAGAAGATGATAAACTGCTCACTCTTCTCATGACCACCTCGTTGATGCGTTGAGCAAAGAACAATGACCAACTGAACCCCATACACAGTGATCCCGGCATCGGGAACACCAAGTCATTCGAGCTGAGAGTGTGGCCCTCCAGCACAGTTCCGGTGAGCCCAACATGCTTGGCCTCGATTGGAAGGAAGCAAAAGTACTTCGACAGCCATCTAGGCTGCTTGATGCGATGAAAACAATCACGGACATCTGAGAGACCTGCATAGATGCCTAGTTCCGGGTCATCACCATCATGCATGTGTGTCTCCATCTCAATCTTTGCAAAGGTCTCAGCGGTTGGCAAAGAGATGCCGGGTGGCTCTTCAAACTCTGCGTTGGCTGGTCTTGCATCTACGATCATGCGAATACGTTTCCCATCACTTTTCCAAACAAAAAACACTCCAGCATGCTGTGAAGGGGACAAAGTGAAATCAAGGTACTTGATGTCATTCAAACGCTGAATAAACTTGCGATATCTACCTGGGTTATGTCGGAGGGCAGGATCCCAATACGGCTTGATGACTTCACTGTCTTCCTTGGGGATTTCCCGTAACATACGCTCTTGCCCCTGCAGGTATCGACGGTCGGCCTCCTCCAACAGTTCCTCAGCACGAGGAGCGTCACAAAGGTCAGTTGGAAGGGACACGAGCTCGAGGTTGTAGGGCGCTAACGAGGCCGGCGTCGATGGCTCGGCATAACCATCTCTGCCTCGGAGCAGCTCACCATAGGCTGCCTCCAGTGACGGCAAATGACCATGGTCACCCAGATCATCCGCCCGTTCCACCAAAGCTTCTAGGCGGCACAAAACTTCTCGTTGGAGAGGATGAGCGGCCGAAGGTGGAGCATCGAAGTCACCCACATGCATCCAATTCAAGGAGGCAATTGCCTCCCTCAAATCATCACGAATTCGGACTCTTCGCGCAGCTCGGTGTTGGGAGCGGCGACCATAGCCCTTCAGCTTCGGCAGAGCATCTGGCCGAGGCAAAGGAAAGAGCCCACTTGCAGAGGTATGCCCCATCGGACCCATGAGCCTATCATCATCATAGTTCAATCCAGCGGTCAGGCTCACCCCGCTGGACCCCATCCGGTTCATGAGCTCGCCGCCGGAGGTTCCAGCCCTTTCCCTCGCCCACCACGGCGTTTGGGTTTTGGGGCTCCTCCGGCAGGAAGGTTGCCATCTGCTGCGGCTGCTGCTGCTTCTTCTTGAACTCCACCTGGTCGACGAAGTTCTCTCATCTTATGGCGGGCTTGATAGAGCTCGACTTCCTCCTTCCCCCGCCTTGCAGCCCATGTCTTGAGCTGGGGCATCACTAGGTCCTCGGGCCCAGTGTATCCAGTGAACAGCTTTGCGTTGCCCCAATCCGGAGCACCAGATCCACCGGCGGCATAGGCGTCGACTATGCATTGGACTCTCCTGGCAACAGTCTCAAAGCTCGCCAGGACCGGCATGTTGAGCTGGTCAAAGGTGCCCCCAAGATAGAGCACGTCCATGAGGCACCTGAGCTCATGCTTCACCCGGTCTTGATCTGAAATCGATTTCTGACGTGCCCACAGTTCCAACCATTGCTTAGGGTCACCACCAAACTTCATCATGTGCTTCAGAAGATGAAGCACCGTCGATGGGCCCTCGCAGGGCCAGTCCTCATAGTGGTAGTCTTTGCTGTCGGCAACCACCACTCGCCACTCTTTGAATCTGGCGCCCTGGTGGTCGTAGTCAACCATCAAAGTTCGAGCGTCACTGGATCCCTCTTCGTTCTCGTGAATCTCGGTTGCCTGATGGGGTGAAGGAGACGGGGAGCCGGCATCACCCCGACGAGCACGAACGAACTCTGCGGCATCCGTGGTCAAAATCAGTTCTGCCTTTGCCCAGCCCGAGGCGACCCGAATGAGTCCTGTGTGGCCTCCAAGCATCAAGTCACGACTGGGATCGACTCGGGCATAGTCCCCAATCTTGTACTGATCAATATTTTCGGTGATCAGCCAAACTTGAGACGGGTCAGCTTCAACGATAGGTCTGGTCACCCGATCATCATCCACGGAGGTATCTCCCCCGGCCACCACCCCAGCACCCATGGCTCTGCGATTCGCGGGCCCTTTGTCAGTCAGTCGGTGCAGCACCAAGGGACCCAAGAAAACATCCGTGTCCTGGACGACGCCCTTGGTGTCCACGACGTGGTCCGGTCTCCAATCAGGATCAAAACTGGCTTCCTTTGAACCCTCGCGAAAAGCCTGCTTGATGTAGGTACGAAGGAGCTGGTCATCATTGATGGGCTTTGCAAACCTGTAAGAACCACCACCTATTCTAGACCAGTATCTAAAATCTTTCCCTTTCACTTTGAATTTGGACGGTCCATCACCTCCACTGCATGACAAGTCCTCAGCATACATGTCAAGGTCGGGCGTCAGCACGTACCACTCCAGATCCGTGAGGCGCCAAAGCACTAATCGCTCATGCCATAGAACATCATCATCGTAGAAAACTGCTAGGGTCAACCCAGGAAAGAGATCGGGAAACGATGCCATGCCCTTTTCTTCTATGACTAGGGGACGACTCTACTTGCCGAACAGTTCCACAACAGCACCAAGCCCCAGCCACACTCCCGGCACCGGCCAAGCAACCGAGTCCTGCCACAATCCCAAAGTCCTGCTGCACTCCACAAAGGCAGTTGCACTGGCAATTGGCCTCAAAGCGGCCTTCAACCGCAGCGGGAGGCAAGAACCCGGGACTATCCACCTTCGGTCGAAGCCCTGCTTGGAGCGCCTGAGAAAGCAATGCCAAAGCTATGGCTTCCCACCGCATTGCGGCCTACCCCTTTCAGCTTGAGCAGCCACGGAGTGACCATTCCGTGTTCCTAACATCTTCCCGTGCACGCACTTCCATATTATACATATACATATAGTAAATTATAGTAAGCATCTCAGTAGTATCGCTGGGTCTTCAAATAAGTCAGGTTGGCTAGCCATTCTACCTCTGGCCTGTGGCCAAAACCTTCCAATGTTACCTGGAGTCTCAAAGTCATTACCGCAGAACATGGGTACAACTACATGCTTTTTATAAGGTCATATATCCCGTTTTTCGTTCGGGTACGAACGTGTACCAACGGGTCCAGGCACTTCCAGGAAGCACCGTGACACCCGTCTCACCTTGACGAGGAACAGCTGGTAGATCAGTGGAGCCTCGCTGTGCGCGAGGAAGCACAGCAGTGCGATGCCAAAGCCCTGCGGTAAGCCCGAGATGTTCAGCGCCACCTGCGAACCGCGGAGATGCCGCGGAGCCGCTGGCATGCCGTGGCGTGAGCCGGGCTGTAGGGACTGTGTGGCACATGAGAGGGATGAACGGCCACATGTAGGTGTGGATCATGAAGAACAGAACTTGAGAGGAGGGAGACACGAAAGGTAAGACAGCGGGAAGAGAAGAGAACGCGAGAGGCAGGAACAAAAATGCAATGTTCGACATGGTGATTTATCCCCTCGGAGGCGACCTTTCGTACATATATGTTCATATGCACTTTAAATGTTCAAACATGTGCTCTCGAAATGTTCAAAAAGACATGGCTCAGATCATCGGTGAGCATTGAATCGGAACATCATAGGATTTGAACTATCCTGAAACCAGAAGAGGCTCACGAAGACGCTCCCCAGGAGAGAATTGACGTGCTTCACAAAACAAACTCTAGGTATGTATCCCCTCGGGGAACACCTTTCGTGATTAGAATTTCATATTGACTCTTTCTGAATGTTCAAGAGGGTTTCAACTATCCTGAAATCATGAGAGGCTCACGAAGACGATCTCCAGGAGAGAATTGATTTTAGAGGGGGGGAGGGGGGGGGGGGG